TCACCAAAGTGAACAGTGGGCAGCCTTGGTCAGCGCCCAGGGAGCAGTGCTTGGTTTGGACTGTTGTCATCTAATATTTAATCTCCTATGCTATAATTAATGTTTCTGTGGAGCATATGTGACAGTGCTTAATTGTGATTACACAGGCTAACTTTTAAAACTATAGGATAGTAAAAGTTGGCAAATTTAGTAAAAAACTTAGGCCATTCGCTTAAAAACTTTATTAATCTTTGTTTCGGCCAAATGACCATAACATTGAACTATTAGAAAGACTAGACTTGAATAACACTTAATCCTGTTTGTTAGATTGTGCTTTAATTTTTATACAACAAATTAGATGTCTAGTGGGCCGGACCATTACAATACCAACATAAATACCTACAAATAACAATAACCAACCAACAACCATGTTTTTCCCCTTTACTTTCATGGAAAAAAGTACAAGTATATTAGATGTATCTCAATTACATGTGTTAATATATATATATATATATATTTAAATAGTTAGAATGAAATAATTTTACAAAACAATTCCTGAACATGAAGTATGCCTTTGTATTTTTAAAATTCATGAAGCGGGCCGGTTTTGGCCCACGGGCAGTATGTTTGACACAAAAGCCTCAAGCTCAGGATTTCTATATCACTCAACAAAACTAGATTAAAATATGCAACAGGAAACAGTGGCGTTTTAAATCAATGGTAACCATCATTACAGTGCATTATTACAGCCCAATAATAATAATAAATATGGAGACAGGTTCAAAAGCCAGCATTTGTAACATCATTAAGTACGTCAGTAGCCATGACCTACAAATTATGCATATACAGTATGCGATGGTTGATGCTGGGACTCATGTTGAAAAAAAAAAAAAAGTATTGTATGTATATGTGGCTAAGTGTTGGACTGGCAAATTGACCATCCTGCCATACCCCTATGACTGATAAGATGGCTTGCAGCCCCTTAACAACCCTGAAAAAATTAAGCAGCAACGGATGAATGAATGAATAGATGCATTTTTTTTTAACTGTTAGAAATGCGAAAAGTGCAGCTTTATCAACATAAACTCAGATGCAGAGGAAGTCTGTGTTTTCAGAAGTGGATAGATGTGATGTCGTGTTTCTCTTGAGTCTGTGTAAATATTACAGGACAAGTTTGAAAGTTGACCAAACTGGCTCTATTCCAACTGTCAGCTTTCCTGTCTACTCAACTTACTGTAGAACAAACAGAGTACCTACAGAGTCTATGGTTGCTGCTTTCACCAGAAACACTGTGTCCTTCACCTTATATATAATGCCTTAAGTTGCTAGTGGGAAATGTACCGGATGTGTCCATCCACATTCTGTATATTTGATTGTGTTTTCAGAATTGCTGAGTCATATAATAGCCATGTACTATTTTCTTTCTGACGGCTGGGTTAACTCGTATGGACGAGAGCCAGAGGTTACAGGAATGTTTTTAGATGGTCTTGATGGAGCAGTGACACATTTTTTCTGCATAAATATCATGTCATTAATGCCATTATGGCAGTCAGAGCGTGTCCTTAGGTGTGGGCTCACTCGGTGAGATTGTCAGATGCACATTGGAGTGTCCATGCACATTATAATCATACAAATGGCAGGGCTTATAAAGGTCTTCATGCCCTCAAGTTCTTTCTTTGTGATACTTAATTTACTGAGGTACATGTACAGTATTTAATGGAAAAAAAGAAGAAATTAATTCATCAATTTATCAAATTATGGAGTTGGTAGAAATATTGTAATAGTCAAGCTCTGTAATATGCTATATCCCAGAGGTTTGAGTTTTCTAAGTCTAAGTTAGGTCACTAACACCTGTCATATAGAAATAGAAATGTACATGTAGATGTTTGGCACCTTGCCTCTGTTAGCTGTTATTTCTCACTTCCTCTTGACCAATTTAGAGAGAAATGCAACATGTGGAGTGAACTGAAGTATTAGGAATAACAGAGAGTAAAATCATTCACATTTTATTATTTATTTAGTTAACAAATTGTATATAATTGGCTTACTAAAAACAGTGATTAATCATCCTCGCTACCAGCCTCATTTAGAATCTGATCGCAAACAAAGTGTGGCCCCAGCTTCTGTACGAAATCACATAAAGCAGATGCACTCCGGTGATTTGATCAGATTTGTCTCTGCTGAGGCCATTCCAATCACATTACAAATAAATTCCCCACTTTTCTTTCTCAACCCCTTCCATTTCATTCTGCCTTTAGAAATTGCTCAGAAGACCACCTGATGGGCAATTTAATGCTCGCTGTGGCACCTCTTTCAGCAAACTCAAATCTGATTTTCCCAAAATAGTTTTAGATATGGTAATGTTTCTCTCATCTTAAATGATTTTAGGAAGTAATGTGATCCTGGAATGCATATATCGATCTGAATATATTTGGTCCAGCGTACATTTGTAATGATCATGGGTCATCACAGACTGTATGAGCATGTCCAGCTGCCTGGAATTAAACCAAAAAAACACCAAAAAAAAAAGTATTGGACATGACCTGATTGACATATGACTTGTTCTTTCCTGACAGCTTATGACTACCTTTACTGGCATCTATATGAATATAAACCTTTTACTTGATAAAGATAAAGAGTATAAGATTAATACAATACAACAATAATAATACAATAATGAGATTAATCAAGATAAATCACGATGAATTGTGATTGTAATTATGGTTGGAAACGGTTTATCATTATTATTTAATACGGTAATTAGTCACAGTTAATTATTTAGCGTAAACATAATTGTTGAAAAATACATTTTTCTGTATGTTGCTGGAACATAGAGACAAATAACAGCAGGTAGATGTATGTGCTTCACACCTGTTGACTCTTGATGTTGTGATAACTTGATGAACTTTGGAATTATGGGATATACTGTATACATGGTGCTGACCATGATTTAAAATGCATTGTGAATAATTACATTTTTTTTACAAACTTAACTATACCTTGACATAAATTCTTTCTGCCAAAGAGCCGAATCTGCTCTCTCTCTCTTTTTGTCATTATTTAAATAAGGCTTCAATGAACTATCATGCTATAGATTTTATTTAAGTATAAGTATAATTTTTGTAGCAACATGATTAGCAAGGAGATTAAGAATAACATCTTAACAGATTTGGTAATAAGCCTTAAAGGAACATTAAAGCACAACAGCTCTGATATATGTGGTGTCATACATGAACAGACGGGGCACAGAGGCACACACACTGTGCTGTTTTAGCCCAGCAGCCCATTTGGAACTTGCATCCATCCTGTTTGTTTGAGATTAATTTTAGAGACTGACTAATGTAGCACTTTTCACAGCGTGCTAGTTATTTTTCAACTCCATTAAAATCTCATATTTGTAATTTGGTGGGGTTCACGTCGACCTATGTGCAGCGGCGGGGACAAAGAGTATTATAACCTATCAATACAAAAATCCTTCCTGTGAAGGCCCAATGCAGCTGGTTTATTTCTATTCATCCTGTTTTTGTCTGAATAGCTTCAGTGTTCTCTGCCTAGGACTGTTGTTTTGTTATCTTGCAGGTGTTAGGTGAGTGCATTTGAAAGCCTCTGGCCCCACTCCTGCTGTCACAGTAATTTCAGAAACCTTGCATATCTTTGGTTATTTTTTTTTTATAACCCAGGTTGGTCGTTACATGATGCCACCAAATTGTCAAGCTGTCTGAAAAGCTTCTCCTCCGCTGCTGTCAGCAGAATAGGCCCTATTTTCTGTGACAATTGAGTATTCAGGGCATCACAATGTTACAGTGACTGTCACAGGGGCCGGCAATAACTGAACACCCTCCCTCTTGCTCACAAACGCACTCTTCTCTCTTTTGATGTGAGTTAAGAAAGAGTGATAGGTTGGCTGTATCTTGTTGCATTGACAGGTCATTTAAAGGACAGTGTTGTAACGATATGGTTCCCCGTAGTCTGTGGTTTCCGTCTGACTCTGTCCATCTTTTAGTTAGAAGGCTCCTCAGGCCCTCTCTGTCCTTCTCCACTTCTCCATCACTGCGCCCCCTTTTTTTCCCACTGCCCCCTCATTATCCTCCTGTTATCCTACCGTCTGTGTCACCTGTTTAATGTCCTTGAAGAGTTTTCGATGCATATTATCTCCTTCACTCATTCTCTCCTTTCTCTTTCCTCTCGTCTACTTACTGCCTCCCCCCCCTGTTTGATCCAGTGTTTTTAATTAGTACTGCCAGTTCGTTGTTTTGATATATTTGTGAAACATAAGATTCTGTGGCAACCCCGTTGGAGGCTTTTGAAACTCCTGACAGTTGGCAGATGTACATGAATGTACATGTACATGTGTCTTTTTCATTACCAGTGCTTATAAACAGACTTCATGTCTAATCATTTATATGAATCGTGCAATGAATAAGATTGTAAGATAATGTAAGATAATGTAACAACAAAATCACATTCCCAGCTGAGTTATAGTCATAAACATAAACATGCATAGATCATAATCATTCTAATTGTAGATACCTTTAAACAATTTATTATATCTCATATTTTTGCTGTTAGCTCTGCACCTGGCATTTTGAGAGGTGCAATAACATGGAAATAATGAGCATTATTCTCTTTCCTCTTCTGTCATTGTGGCACTTTTTCTTCTTTGTCGCTGCAATGTGTCTGACAACAAAAAGTCGTATTAAAGTGCTTTGTCCTGAGGGTTTGCACATTTGTCGGACATTCTTAAGTTTATTACATAGATGGAGACAGAAGAGAAGATCACAACCCTGCAGCCAATTTCACATGATAACTTCATTACACCTGTATCAGCAACAAATACAATCATAAAGACAGATAAAGCCTCTGCTAACAAACAAAGTACTAGCAACCACATACACACACACTAATTCTCATGGGCTAAATGTATTGCTGTGGTGTGACTCTTGCACCTCAGATAAATGGCTGCTGTCTGCTGTGTCCTTTTTTCATTCGTGTTTCACTCTTGTCTTCTGTCTCACGTCTAGGATCCCAGCAGAGAGGAAGTCCTGCTGCAGCAACTGAGGGAGAAAGATGAGCTGATTCTGAGACTCCAGATTGAACTGGTGAGGTTCAGTTCATTATCATTGACTTGTTGCCATATTAAACTTTATTGAAAGAGGATCTGATGTCTTAAAACAGGACATTGAATCTAACACGACAAACTCTTTTGACATTTTGAGAATTCTACACAAGTTGCAAGAGACTAAAGAGTATTTAGTACTCTGGTTGGGTATATTTACTTTGAAAACTACTATTGTAGTACTACTATTACTAGTATTGTAGGCCACAAAGTGGGATGTGGCAAGCACTCTTGCCTGACAGAAAGACGATCAGCAGTTCAATCCAGGCACTGTTGCTTCCTCTCACAGTCCTTTGCTGGCACTATTATTTCACTTGTGGCACAGAGCAGTTATCGATGTTCTATTCAATAAATAACCCTGACCTTTTAGAAAAAAGTTTTTAGTTTAATCCTATGAATACTAGTTTATAAAACAGTGCAAATTAGTCAAATCTTTTAATGAAAAAAAAATATTCAAAAGCAGAATTATATAATTGTTTACATTAAATCTAATTGCGGGCTGGATTTGAGGGGATTACCAGCCGGAAAAGAACTGTGGGTTGGGAGTTTGAGATCCCTGCTCTTAATTGACCATAGATATGAGTCTGTCAGTGAATGGTTGTTTTTTTTTCTCTATATGATGGACTAGAGAACTGTTCACTTTGTACCCAACCTCCTGTTACGACTGCTGCATTGGCTCCAACTCTCCCTCCTTAAAAAGAATTAGGTGGAAGAAGATAAATGAGTCAATGAAGTGGACCTTGAACATCAGAGCTGTTTGTTTTAAAATAAACCAGAGTTCCCCTTGTCCTCTAATTAAAGCGGGGGATGGTTTGTTTTGGTATGACATATCTCTTTCCTTCATTTCCACCACTTGATCTTCTATTCTGTCTTCACTCTCTTCCTTTTTTTCACCTCCATCATCATCTTGCACACTACTATGCGATGTTGTTTGGCTACACTCTCACCTGTCACCACCTTACAGTCTCCAATCACCCTCAGATTACCTCTTCTACATAGAATATAATCTATCTGCATGGAGCTGCCTCCACTCTTGTAAGTCACCCTGTGTTCCTCTTTTTTTTTGGAAATAGGTGTTTACCACAGCCATTTCCATTCTCTACCACTGCCTGTCCTTCTAAGTTTATCTCCCTAACACCAAACCTGCCCATCACTTCTCCTCTGTTCCCTTCCCCTACATGACCATCAAAGTCTGCTCCAATCACCACTCTCTCTCCCCTGGGGATACCATCTATCATCCAATCCAGCTCCTTCCAGCCTCCTTTTCTTCCAACTCACAGCCCACCTATGGGGCATAACTGCTAACAACATTAATCATCATTCCTTCTATTTCTACCTTTACACACATCAACCTGTCTGACTCTTGTTTCACCTCCACCACATTTCTTACATATTCTTCCTTTAGGATCACCCCTACTCTATTTCTCTTCCCATCTGAACCATGATAAAACAGTTTGTAGCCTCCTCCAATGTTTCTAGCCTTACTGCCCTTCCACCTGGTCTCCTGCACACACAAAATATCTACTCTTCTTCTCTCCATCACATCAGCTATTTCTCTACTTTTCCCTGTCATTGTACCTACATTCAAAGTTCCAAACTTCAGACTAACACTTCTATTCTTCATCTTTTCTCTTTTTCTCCTAACCAAACGCCCTCCTCTTCTTCTCTGTCTCTGACTCTGTCTCTGACCAACAGTAGCCGATCCGGTATTGAAAACGTTTTAATTTGCATTCTTTGATTTGGCAAAGGTTTTACACGGATGCCCTTCCTGACGCAACCCTCACTAATTATCCGGGCTTGGGACCGGCACTATAACACATTCCGTGTACCCTAGTGGCTGGTTTAAGAGTGAATGAATAAAGACGTTTATATCGAAGCGGCTTGCCTCGCATTGCTGTTATTTTTAAAAATACTTTTGACGCCCTGCTACGTGGGCAAAAGATACAGGAGCCTTGCCCGCGGTGGAAGCAGGCGTAGCTCCGCCCTGATAAGGGAGGTGTGGTCAAATATGCCTGGAATTTCAGTATATATATTCAGACTTTGTGCAGAAAGTCTGAATATATATGCAAAAATCTTGAATGTATATACAGAAACCTGATTATATATACAAAGAGTCTGAATATATATACAAAAATCCTGACTATATATACATAAAGTTTAAATATATATACAAAAATATGAGCGTATTTCACCACACTGTCGGTATCAGTGCACAGCTATGCCTGTATGTAAAAAAACAAACAAACGTCAAAGCGACACACTAAGCATGAACAATCAAATACAAATTAATAGTTTAACGAGAACACATACACTGCGTCATATGACAGCTTTCAAATAAAACGTCTTCAAATAAAGTAAACATACATATTTGCTGTGTAATAGAACCTGTAATAAATAAGTTTAAGAGAATAAGAACAGATTACAGTCATACAATGGTTAACGATCTAAGGTCACTGTTGTGAGGGATTCAGAGTAGTGTAATGTTAATATAAGGATGTTAAAAATATTATAATTTGTTGTAAATACTTGTTTGGAAATATATTAGAATATTTCTATATGTTATTATTTGATAACGCTGTCCAGTGTGCTGACGATCGATAACTTGTTTTATGTATATATTTAGGATTTTTGTATA